GTTTTGAATTATATGAGAGCAGATTGACTTCTTTTAGCACGATAACATAAATTGTTTTCAATTCATTCTTATTTTACAAATATGATTATGACTTATATGCTTATAAATTTTGATGGAATTACTTTCAATTTCTTGACACCATTATTAGAGATTGTCAATTTAAATTTTAAAGTTTTTATCATGGGAATGCTATTCATTGGAAAAGAATTATTTGGCCTCAATTTGGTTAGCTGACGCCGATTCCACCAACGACCTCAAAAAGAGCAACTAGCTACAGTGGGTGGATCTATTTTGATTAGTATTGCCACTTTAATGTAAATATATAATTTGTATGTCTTTTTAAATTGAAAGAAAGAGTAGATGCTCCACATAGGTTGTTGATGAATCTTATTTTTGTTTATATATTGGTTGCTGGCTAGAAGGAGCTATGCTCCTGACTTATACTGTTAGTTGTAAAAATTTTTATTGTAGAATTTTCAGGAGATCTTAGTTACAGGGGAGGTTCTGCCGAAATTTCTACAAATACATCGACACTTTCTTATGATAATGAATTTAAAAAAAAGTTGTTTTAATTCCCATATTATTTGATTGAATTTATTCTTTTCTTAAAAAAATGAAATAAATTTTCATTTGGAGGCTTACAGGAATGTGAGAATGGTTCACGCCCGTGCCAGTCACCCTCTATTTTGGGGCGTGACACAAATCCAACCTATGGCATGGTTAGGACATGCTTCAGACTTGAAAATTGAGAAATTAGAATTATTTTCTGTAGAAAAAATAAAGTTGTTGAGTCTTGTGATTCTTGTATGAAGGCTAAACAAACTAGATTGCTATTTGATGATATTTGGGGTAGTTATAAAATTGCTTCATTAACTAGTGCTTATTATTTTTTGACAATTGTTGATGATTATTGTAATGATCCTAAATTTTAAATTAGTTTTGTAGCAAGTGGAGAGTGGTTAATTATTGGAACTCTTGCTAGTAATATTTTTTTGAAGGTCCAGAATTTGAATTCTACTAAGCAAAGTTCAATTTTGTTTTGTTTTAAATAAAAAAGAATTTGTGCCATTTCTTGTAATTTTCATTATGTCATTTCTTGTCATTTTCCTTGTACTTTTTATTGTAATTTTTACAATTCTCCTTGATCAGCTTTTTATTCCCATTCCCATTTCACTTTCGTGAAACACTAGATGCGAGAAAGAAAGAGAGAAATCTAAAAAAAATAGAGAGAGAGATCACCGCCTCTGCTCTTCTGCAATCCTAGCTAGTCACCAGCGTTCTCCATTCTTCCTCCTCCGCCGGTCAACTCACCATCGATAGGTGCATGAGTTCTGTTCGTGTTGCTGTGTGTGGGTGCTTCAAGATCTTCTTTCTATTTCATTCTTTGCTCTGCCTCCTCTACTGTTGATGGTGCACTTCTGGTAGGTGCGTGAGTAGCTTGATCCGCCAAAGTTGGAGGATTGTCCTATAAGTTCTTCTTCTTCCCTCTTTGGTGCAGTCCACTTCATCTTCCTCAATTTTTGAGTGGCCAAAATTTTTTCCCCTATTCAGCCATATGATCTGTCTTCTTCTTCCTTACTTATGTTTCATTGGCTACTTGAGGTGAGGAGCTTCAATCTTTATTCTCTTTGCTACGTGCGTGTGATTTTGGGTTGAGGTCATGAAATATTATGAATTGTCCTTCTTCCTGTGCTACACATGTTTGTGGAAAAAGGGGTTGTGGAACTAAGATGAATTTTAGTCCAATGAAGGTGATTTAGTGTGGACTTGAGCGATGTCAAAATTTATATTGATTTTGTTAAAGGAATAGAACTTGGGAAGTTGATGTATTTATATATTTATGTTGGAGAATTTTTGAGAAGTAGAACCGTGTAGGAAGAAGCTTGGTAATGATTTGAAGTTTAATGGCCACAAGGTATTTGACAAGATGACCAAGAGGATTTTTTGTTATATAATGGCATGATATATATATATATGATGAGGATATTGTTGATTAAATAAACTATCATTAAAAGATAATTATTCTCTTTAATGTGTGTTGGGAGGATAATAGATTAATTATAGATATAAGGAAAACCTTTGGAAAGGAAGTTAATGAGAAAAAGAACTTGATTGAGCATTGAGAGGAAGATTTTGAGATAAAGTGGCAAATATATATGACAAATATGCCATCATTGATTAAACAATCATGTTAAGCACTTGTTCTTTGCTATGAAAGTTAAAGAAGAAATTAGAAGTTGTTGGGAGAGATTTTTGAGTTTGCAATTTAAGAAGCTAATTTGATATTCATTTTTGGGATACATTGGAATATTTGATGCAATGTTGAAAAAAATAAAAGTAAAAGTTTTCTTTCTTTTATTTCTCTAAATTGTTTTGGATTTAAATATTTTGGGTAGTAAAGCATGATTGGGAAAGTAACATTGATACTATTTGAATATTAGGAATTTTATGACAAAGCATTGACCTTTAATACTAGTTTGGAAGTAAGTTATACACTTGGAAACTTTACAAGTAAGTAAATAATGTCCCAACTAAATTTTTCTTGCTGAAATTTTCTATTTTTATATAGATTATTTTAATAATAAGTATGTTGATTAGTAGATATTTTGTTATTTAAACTTCTTCACTTTTAAGTTATAAGACAGTGGTGAAGAATATTTACATATGGCACATGAATGTTTTACCCCTTAATACTTTCAAGATTGATAAAAATCATTTCACTAGCATGAGCAATTTTTGATTATTCAAGAAATGCAAACATGAATATTGGATATGAAATTTTATTTCGCAAGTTTTGATGCTTGAAAACTATTCATGCGAGTTTAATTTCAAGAATAAAAATTATATTTTAATAGTGGTGATTTTCTCGCATGTTTTGAAATGAATTTGAAGGAGATTTTATATAGAACACTGATCGCTGACGGTAATTCCGTTAACTCTTAGCGTATCATGATACACTTAGCTAGCAAGGTGTTTATAGGAGGTGCTAGCCCCGTGCGATGGCCAACGCACGTCGAATGGAGGGATGATTATTCATGACCATCATACTCACGTTTGTTTCATGGCTTCGGCTGCATTTGATTACTTACCCTCGTGAATTGTGTGTCCATGTTTGTTTCGTGGCTTCGGTTGTGTTTGGTTACTTGTCCTCGTGGACTGTCTGTTCACGTTTATCTTCATGGCATAAGCCGTGTTTGGATATTACCCTCGTGGACTATATGTCCATGTTTGTGAATTGTTCTGATAAATCCCCAAAAATATGAATTTTCAATTAATTGGTGATTTTATAATCAATGGTTTTCAATTGGTAAATATTATTGTTCTTATTCATTTATTTCATCGTTTTCACTTGTCAAGATCCAATGTTAAGGTTGCTTTGTCATTATAAATTTAAAGTTTATTGATGTTGAAGTTATATAGAATTTTTATTCCAAGTTTACAAAATTGCTTACATTGAATTGTCTTTCTTTAATTTATATAAATATTGTAGCTATTAATTTTGATTTTGAAAAATGTTATGATTGGGACGTTATTCACTGGAAAGTTATTTTTAGTCTCAGATAGCGTAGCTAAGGTTGTACATCCTGCTGACCACTGAAGGACTTCTTTTGCTGAATTATGTGTAGATTTGTTTTGTAAATATCTTCTATTGATGCAAATATGAAATTTATGTATCATATTATGAAAAATACAATTAGGTGCTTCACATAGACTATAGTTAGGATCCTTATTTTGTTATATACTTTATTTATTGGCTAGAAGGAGCAAAGCTCCTGGTTATTGTGATTTTTTGATTGAACGTTTTGTTGTAAAATTTTCGAGATGGTCCTATTTATAAGGAAAGTTATGCTGAAATTTCTACAAGAATAGGGAAGCTTCTATGAAAATGATCACGCATGTTAAATTTAATATAAACATAATTATGTTTTAGTAATAAGAAGAATTCTTTTTAGGGCTTAAGGGATGTGTGTGGTTCACATTTTGTGCCGATCACTCTCATTTTTTGAGACGTGACAATTATAGTTGATCAATATAGGTATATCTAATAAAGTGTAAGTCAGAAGTTAATAAATATTTGCCAATGTTTTTAACAATGGTGGAAACACAATTTGAAACTAAAGTGAAGTGCGTGCGTGCGTGCGTGCTGGCAATGGACATGAGTTTAAATCTTATTATATGAGAAAAAATTTATGATGACAAAGGAATTACATTGCAAACCAATTGTGTCCACACACCTTAACAAAACAGGGTCGTAGAGTGTAAACACAGATATATATTAGAAGTGGCACCAGCCTTGAGATTTCATGCAAGCTTGCCAATTGAATTTTGGGGAGAATGTGTTTTAATAGCAGTAAATATTATTAATAGATTAGCAAGTAATGTCATAGGACATAAGACACCGTATGAGGTAATGTTTAAAAGGAGGGCAAATTATAATCATATGAGAACATTTGGGTGTCTTGTTTCTGCTAAGGATGTGATGAACAAAGACAAGTTTGGAGTAAAGGGGAGAGCAGGAGCATTTTTGGTATACTCAAATGAACAAAAAGGTTATCGAGTGTATGATCTAGAGAAGCAGAAGGTAGTGGTGTCACAAGATGTCGTTTTCTTTGAAGAAGAATTTCCTTTTAAGAAATGAATGTTTGATGAAGAATGGATCATGAAGCCACATGGTAGGATCCAGATAGAGGACGAAGAAATTGCACCATCTAAACCTCATGATGTGCCTCGAAGTAGTGAGGATGTAGACCAAAGAGAGACACTTGAGTCCAATCACAACAATGTTTGTGTCAGAAAATATTGAAGAAGGTCGAGAAGTGTAATGACTTAGAATATAATTAAAATTAAAAATTAATGATAAAATATTTTAAGGATATTTATATATATATATATATTTATTTGCACATTGGTATAGATTTATCAAGGAGAAGAAAATTTTATTTTTACTAATGAGTGGGCTAAATTATCATTTTTTTTCCTTTGGTCAAAAATAAAATAAAATAAAATAAATTAATCATAAAATACTAAAAATAAATAATGCAATAGATGAGATCAGATACGCACGCGGGGGGGGCCTTTGCTTTTCTTTTTTTGTCTTTTTGTCATAGGCTTCGAAAGTTCCAGATCAAGGAGGTCGGTGAGAGCTTTGAACCATACTCGTGTCTTCTCTAGTCTGTCTCCCCTGCCGTCCTTTTCATCTGTCACCGGTGACCTTGAGCGTGCTGCAGCCTTCCTTTTCCTCTTCCTCTGTTTTGAGTCGCTGATCGTGCAACAGTGAGTTGTTGTCCCATTCGTCTGTACGATGTTCATTTGCGCCGCCTGCCGTTCTTCTTCCTCTGTTAATATTGTGCTATGGGTTTTTAAATTTCGGACTATGGAAGTGGTTCGTTCCTGCAAGAGACTGATTTCTGGTCTTCTCTTTCCCCTGTTCAGCAGCAAACTCCTCCTCTCCCTTCATCGTTGTTGTTGCCGTGGCTGGTATGAGAGTGCTCATCTTCCCTTCTCCATCTTTAATGATCTTATGTGGTGTATAAAGATATATATATATGTGTATGTGTGTATATACATACATACATACATACATATATATATATATATATATATATTGGCTTTCCTTGCTTGCTTGTTCGACTGTAAATGTTTTGAATTTTTCTTGAGCTTAAATTGATTTTTGTTGAGGAATTGGATTGGAAAAGCATAATGAATTTAATAATGGATGAATGGAAATTGTTGGGTAATCAGAGATTGTAGCTGAACGAGTTTTACTAAAGCGTTTAGAAGTTCTGCACACAAGGAATTTGATATAAGGTTTGAGAGATAATTATGTCTCAATGGAATAATTAACTATGGCTAAAGTATTGTGAAGAAATTTTGAGATAAATAATGATGTTTGGGGTAACTTTGAATCATTTAGATGGATTATGGCTGGAAATTTATAAATTTTGGTACCTGTGTATGATTTAATTTTTGAGTGCACATAAGATGTTTGATGGAGTGTGGGAAGAGAAATTGTTTTGGTTTAAATAAATAACTAAGTATGGGTAATGAACTATTGACTAAATCTTTGTAAAAAAATTGTGATAGGGTTGTCTTCCACCTTAACCTTCAATGACGAAGTTTTTTATAAATCACTTGGTCATAGCTTCATAGAGATTCTTAAGCTGTGTACAGTTAGTGTCTGCGCATGTGTGTGTCTAAATGTATATATTCATGATTATGAATGTGTTGATTGACTTTCGGTGCAAATGCGAGAGCTGCCCAGTGGTCTTGCTGTTGTAAAGTAAGCCATAGAATCTCAGCTATGGTATTTGGAATAATCCATGCAATAACTAGATCTTTATATAGAAGTTATTACATTCTTATATAGGAATTTGAGATTAAGGACTTTGCTTACATATAAGTGTTTAAAACAAAATGATGGTAGGGGGTCGATGAATGTTGTTTTATTTAATTATTTATTTTGGATTTATAGCTGATTGTATTTAAACCTCCAAATATGTAAAATAAAATGCTATGGTTTCAAGTCACAATGTTGTGGGAAGAGTGCAAGTGTAAACGATGGTATTATTAGTTAAAATGTGTTAGTAGATTACTATGATTTGTGCACTGGAAAGGAATGCGGATGATATGAATTTCTTTGGAATGAAAATTAAAAGATTGGGGACCAAGAACAATGTGAGAATATACTATGATAATTGAGTGAGTGAACAATTATGAGTTTTATAAAATTTTAGAGATTCAATTATTATTATTATATTGGATATTTTAGGAATAAACCTTGTGGGGAATGCTAAATGGGTAAATTTCAATGGTTGGATTGCCTCAGGTAAGTGAATAGCGTCCCAACTGATATTTCATTAAAATCTCCTTTATTCAAATATTAAATTTTTATGCAATTTTTTTTTACGACAATAATGTGATTATGAGATATTTTGTTGATTAAATTACTTTATTTCGTGAAATTATTTTACCAGAATTGATCATTTTAGTTAATCAGTAAATACAAGTTTGAATTCTAATTGTGGGATTTCAATTTGGAAATTATTGAATTGTTACGGAGAAATGATTCATGCGAGTTCGACATTGAAAAGGGAAATTTGATTGAATAGTGATCAATTTCTCGCATGTTTGAAAATGGTTTTAAAAAGGGACTTTATATAGAACACTGGTTACTAACGGCAGTTCCGTTAGCCCTTGGCACGCCATGGTACACCTAGCTAGCAGGGTGTTTATAGTAGATGCTAGCCCCGTGCGATGGCCAACGCACGTGGAACGGAGGGATGGTTATTCGTGAGCATCGCACTCACGTTTGTTTCGTGGCTTCAGCCGCGTTTGGTTATATACCCTCGTGGACTGTGTGTCCACATTTGTTTCGTAGCTTTGGCTGCGTTTGGTTACTTACCCTCGTTGATTGTGTATCCACGTTTGTTTTCGTGGCACAAGCCGCGTTTGGTTATTTACTTTCGTGGACTGTGTGTCCATGTTTGTTAATTGTTCTGATAAGTCCCTATAATTATGAAACCAATCATTTGATGATTTCATATTTCATTGGTTTTTATTTAGTGATTTGTTTATAAATATTTTATTTCATTTATGTGCTTTCTTGAAATCAATTGATATTATCATTTGCTATGATAGTTCAATGATTTGAGATTTTATTTGAAATTTATAGAGCCATATTATTATGAAGTTCATTAAATTTTTATAAAAATTTTGTCTATTTAACCTACATAACTATTTCAAACTTTTCATTTTATTTATATTCTATTGTTTATTGTTGGGACGTTATTCACTGGAAAATATCTTTGGTCTCAGATACCTTAGCTGACGTTGATCTTCCTGCCGATCCTTGAGCACTTATAGACAGGTGGAGGGTTGATTGAAATTTTTCTTTTGATGTAATTATAAATGTTTATATATCTTATTTTTATTTTATTTTTGAAAAGTACGATTAGGTGCTCCACATAAGCTATAACTAGGACTTTTATTTTATACATACTGTCTGTCGGCTAGAAGGAGCTAAGCTCTTGATTTAATTGATATTTTGACTGTATCAATATATTGTAGAAATTTTGAGAAATTCTATTTACAGGAGGGGTTTTGTCAAAATTTTTATGAATATGTTGAAACTTTGTTATAATTATTATTGTCAAAAGTATTATAATTTCAATATAAATCTGATTTAATTTTAGAAATAGAGTGAATTTACAATTTAAGGCTTACAGGATGTGTGAAATGGTTCACATCCTGTGCCGGTCGCTCTCCAAATTTTGGGGTGTGACAAGAAGACAAGGAGAATTTGGACCACGAAGAAGTGACTCAAGTTGAAGTTCACAAAAGCATGCGGGACCGAAAAGTCCTGAAATGACTCAAGGAGTATGATGTCGATTTAACAAATCTATAGCCCAGCCACAGCGTGGACCCATCCTAGGTCACTCATAGGTATATCCTTTGTCACATTTTGTTTCTTATGATGGTTTCTCTGACTCCCATCAAGCCTTTTTGACGGCCATCTCTAAAAATGATAAGCCCAAAAATTTTACAGAAGCATCTAAACATAAGTGCTGGCTTGAGGCGATGAAGCAAGAGATATAAGCTCTAGAGAGAAATGGAACTTGGACTCTTGAACCATTGCCACCTGGGAAACGACTTATAGACTCAAAATGGGTTTACAAGAAGTTTAAACCAGATGGGACATTACACAAGTATAGAGCTTGTTTAGTTGCTAGAGGCTTCACACAAGAGGAAGGAGTCGATTATCATGAGACGTTTGCACACGTTGCGAAGCTTGTCACAGTCAGAACATTATTGGCAGTAGCAGCCAAAAGAGAACGGCAGATTCATCAACTTGATGTGAACAACGCGTTTCTTGACGGTGAGTTGGATGAGGAAGTTTACATGAGAATACCAAATGCGTCTAGAAAGCCAGGAGACAACAAAGTTTGTAGGCTAAAGAAGTCATCGTACGGTTTGAAGCAAGCTTGTGGAAACTGGAATCTAAAGTTTACTAGTGCACTAAAGAACAGTGGGTTCAGGTAGTCAAGGGCTGATTACTCTCTATTTATGTACACATGTGGGAGAATATTTATTACTGCACTTATATATGTGGATGATGTTATCGTGGCTGGAAACGATGAACGAACAATACCATGAGTCAAGGATCACTTGCATAAAGACTTCAGCATCAAGGATTTTGGGAAACTAAAGTATTTCCTTGGTATTGAAGTGGCAAAGGTGCGTGAAGTGTATTTGCTCAGTCAAAGGAAGTATACACTTGATATACTTAAGGATGCAAGAATGGAGGGATACAGACCAAGTGAGTTTCCAATAGAGTAGAATTGCAAGTTAACTATTTCAAATGATGATCCAGCTGCTGATGCTTCTAGATTCAGAAGATTAGTGGGGCAATTAACGTACTTGACAATCACACGACTGGATATAGCTTATGCCGTTAATGTTCTAAGCCAGTTCAGTCTAGACGATATCATATGGACGCAGTTGAGCGAGTATTGAGATATTTAAAGACCACACCATGACAAGGCATTCTACTTAGAAAGGATGGTAAACTTGAGTTACGGGCATTCTATGATGCTGATTGTCGAGGTTGTCATGTTACCCGACAGTCAAGCACTAGATATTTCATTCGCCTAGGAGGTTCTCCTATGTTTTGGAGAACCAGGAAGCAGTCTGTGGTGGCTTGGTCATCTACCAAAGTAGAGTACAGAGCAATGGCAGTAACGGTAAGTGAAGTCACATGGCTGAGGTGGTTGTTACAGGAATTAAGAGTGCAATAAACAAAGGCAACAACCCTCTTCTGTGACAACCAAGTGGCATTGCATATAGCAGCCAACCACATTTTCCATGAGAGAATAAAGCATGTGGAAATGGATTGTTCCTTTGTTCGCGAACAGGTGGCAAGCAAAGAAATAGCTCCCAAGAAGATATGGACAAGAGACTAGCTTGCATATGTGTTTACAAAGGCAATGGGAAAAAGACAAGTTTTAGGGATTGACTCACAAGTTGGGCATCGTAAATCTACACACTCCAACTTGAGGAGGAGTGTGAGATTTGATAGATATCTATATAGTTACACAGGATTATGTAATGTTGTTAGGATAGGATATGATTGCGTGAATCTCGTGTGAATCCTGCGTATGTCTCGCTATTAGGTGTTTCTACTCTCTCTCTCTCTCTCATGTACATGTGTATAAATAGACTCACAGTGTAACTATCTTTTTCAAGCAATGAATTAATCATTTCTGCTATACATAATTGACACATAAAACCCAATTTTAATGTCATATTTGATCCATTAGCCTTTTAAGCCCACCATGAAACCTATCAATGTCCTTCCTCACAATTAATGAGCAATTTAATCAACTTTTTGCTCAGAATTAATCAACTAGATGACTTTCAATTGAATTTAAAACACCAATAAAATCAATAAAACATTGAAAGTTATCAAGTGAAAATTTAAGGAACGAAAAATATAACATGCATCATGTAAAATTGATTTTAAATCAACCACCAACACTTAAGCCGAAACTTTCCATATAAATAGTATAATGGAGGTGTTTTTCAAAATTAATATTGTAATGACCTTAAATTTAAAATTAAATAAATTTTTCTCGTAATTAATATTTTATTTAATTGCTTTAATTCTATAGCAACTGGAGAATAATAATTTATTGAAACTTACATTAGTAATTTTTTTGAAGGTCCAGAATTTAAATTCTACTAAATAAAAGTTTGATTTTATTTTGTAGAAATTTTAAATTATAGGAAAATTGTGTCCTTTTTTATAATTTTTGTTGTGCCTTTTTATTCAATTTTTTATGCTTTTTCTTATAATTTTTCCAATTATCCTTATGTTCAGATTTTTATTTCTCTTCTCCATGCGTAGAAACAGAGCGTGGCATATCTCTTCCTTCTTAACTGATTTTTTTCTTCTCCTCTATCGTCAAATGCTCTAGAACCGAGGTAGAGAGAAGCTTTGACCAACCTTTGCCTCTTATTCATCTTTTCCACTTTGATTTGGTTGCCGGCGTTCATCATGAGTTCAATGTGAGTTTGCTGCCCCACGGAGTTCATTGAAGGTCGACCAACTTCCTCCTTGTTTCTGCTTCACTGTCAATCTCTTTATGCTTCTTCATTTCAGTGTTGTTGAACCTCCTTCATCCTCTCTTTTTTGGTTTATCTGCGAGTAGAGAACACAGCAGAGCTTGGCTGCCATTTTTGCAGATTCAACTGTGAGTTTTCCCCTGTTTTGTGTTGCAAATCGCTCACCCTTGCTAGTCGCAGTTCAACCTATTCTTCCTCCGTTTATTTTCATCGTCGACTGTTGTTCTTCCTTGTTGCTTTTTGTGTGACAGTTTCTCCTTATTTCAGCTTCACACAGTCAGCCTCTTCTCCTCCTTACTCCTTCTCTGTTCTGTGGTGCTAGGTTGAAATGAGAAGTTTTGAACCTTCCTCTAGTTAGTTCTATGTGCATGTGAGTGTGTGTGATATAATATTGTTAGCATTGAATTTTTTTTCCTGGAATTTTGCTGCTATCCGGACTGTGTAGGAAGAAGGAAGTTGAAATTTAAGCTGAAAATTTATATTAAAGTTTGATGAAAGAAGGAAGTTGAAATTTAAGCTGAAAATTTATATTAAAGTTTGATGATAATATATATATATATATGGGTCAGAACTTTTGGAGCTAAATTGATTTTATTTGAATTGGTTAACATTGAAAATCTGGTGAGAATGAGGTTGGAAGAGAGGAGACTACATAAGGGACTTAGGGTTGGAAGAAAGGAGACTAGAATGAGGTTGGGAGAGAGGTGTTAGCAATATCGTGTCAATTGAGCTTAGGGTTGGCCATGTAAATTTGATTATAAAATATTATATAGTTACCTAAGTTCCTTGAAAATAATATACTTTTAGTATTTTGACAAAAATTTTAATATGAGACTGTATTTTAGTTGAGTATTGAACTATGGCTTTGGTAGATTTTAGGATAGAGTCACGATTTTATAATTTCAAATAACTATAGCAAAATTTTGATATTGATAATGTTGGAAAGAAATTATTGAATTTATTGAAAGTTTATTTAAAATCTTAACATGATTTTTAGGGTGTTTGGAAAAGGAAAATTGTGATTAAAGTTTAGAGGAAAATTTTGCATTTTGAGAATTTCAAATAAGTGAATAGTGTCCCAATTAATTTTTCAATAAAGATTTTCTTTACTAAAATATTACATTTTTATGCAAATCATTTTAATAACAATGAGGTGGTTATTGAATAATTTTTTTATTAAACTTCTTTATTTTGTAAAATTACCTTTATTAGTTTTGAAATGTTAATTAATTAATGAATACAAGTTTGGACTTTGATTATGAGATTTCATTCTATCAAATATTAGATTAATACAGAGAATGATTCATCTGAGTTTGACTTTGAAAATGAAAACTTTATTCATTACTGATGATTTTCTCACATGTTTGAAATTGAATTTGAAAGGGACTTATTACAGAACACTAGTTGCTAGCGGCAATTCCGTTAGCCTTTGGCATGCTATGGTTATGACTAGCTAGTTCAACTTTCGTAAGTATTGCATTCACGTTTATTATTCATGGGTCTTGCACTTGTGTCTATTTCTTGGTTTTGACCACGTCTAGTTAGTTACCTTCGTGGATTGTGTGTCCACGTCTGTTTTGTGACTTCGACTATGTTTGGTTAATTACTCTCGTGAACTGTGTGTCCACATCTGTTTCGTAGCTTTGACTATGTTTGGTTAGTTGCCCTCGTGGACTGTGTGTTTATGTTTATTTCGTGGCTTCAACCACATCTGGTTACTTACTCTCGTGGACTGTGTATCCACGTTTGTTTTTGTGCCATAAGTCACGTTTCGTTATTTGCCCTTGTGGATTGTGTGTCCACATTCTTAATTATTTTGATAAATTCCTATAAAAATGAATTTGATTATTTAATGATTTTATGTCCCATTATTTTTAATTAGTAATCTATTTATAATTACTTATTTCGTTTATTTGCTTCTTTGAAATCATATGATACTAATATTTGATATGATAATTTAATGG